CTTTTGGAAGCTCCTTATGTTCGGTGACTGTAAAGCTGTTTTGAGATGCGTGGGAGATTTCCTGTTATTGTACTTTTGTCTTGAACAAGAGCAGTCTGCCACATAATCAACCCCCCAGCATAAATCTTAATGTTGTAGAGATTGCAGTAAAAGATTGGATTGCGTTTGGGCACCAGGGCCTGAAATAATACTGGAGGGCCCTTCTTTGATGAAATTATTATTATTTTTTTAAGCTCAGCTATACTCCAATATTTAAACCATATTTCTTTTGTGTTTATAGAGGTTGTCTTTTTGGAGCTACAGCCAGTTTCAACAAAGCTTTTATCCATGCATTTTGTATGTCCAGTTTCTGATCTGTTCCTACCAATGCCAGCTAATCCAGTTGTAGACATATTCTTACCCATGCTGTTTGAATCTGTGATACACAAATTCCTCATCTGGTCCACATTGCTGAGCTGGTGGTGGACAAGTACAGGACCAGTTTGTTCATGTCGCTTCCAGTGATGCAATTGACATAATTTATAACTTTAGTTGTGACCCCCTGTATGTGGGAAGCTGGGATTGGCAAGCAGAGGATTTGACTTTTGGAAGATCCTTATGCTAAGTGACACCAAGGGCTCAGTCTCATCATAAGTGGCCCACCCTCAGTCCCACCACATTATCCTGCACACTGAAACAAAGCGTATTAGTATGCAGGCTGGTGTGAATGAGCCCTTAAGCTGTTTTGAGATGTGTAGGAGATATCCTGTTATTTTACTTATGTCTCAAGGAAAAGCTGTCTGCCACATAACCCCCAGTGTAGATCTTATTATTTTACAGGTTGCATTAAGAGATTGCATAGCATATGGAAAAACACTATATTTTAGAGGTACCTGTACGTATGCTGTTTGCATTCCATGAAAAATGGAATAGAGACTTCTTTTTTTTTTTTTTTGCTTTTTTTAAATTTTTGCCCTCCCTTTTCTGTCAACTCCTTTGTCCTTAACTGGACCAAAACTGGAGGAAGATGAAGAGCCTGACATTGAGGTGAAGAGGAATAAAGCCCATAAGTATATGTTTACAAATGAAGAAACTGGCATGCTGCATAAAACCATTTATTCTGCAGAACAATTCAAAGACATAGTGCGGGTTTACTCAGTTCATGAACATATTCAGGATGAACTGCATAGTAGCAAAAGTACAAGTTCTACAAAGCAATGTTCTTACAAAGGCTCTGCAAAAGGAATGGTTAAAGGCATATCATAGTTTTTTTTTATCCACAGGACCATCAAAAGGCTGCTTTCCATTAATATATTTAAAAAAAAAAAAATCAAGGCAACTGGGCTTGCTGCATTTTTCTTAAAGATGTTTCACTGGTCATCTGACTAGCTTTCTCAATTCAGAATTAAATTTATTTCTAAATTGAGAAAGCTTGTCGGATGACACGCGAAACGTCTTCAAGAACAAGTCCATTTGATTTATTTTTTACAGATATACCATGATCTGAATGAATGAGAACCTTCACTAACATGTTTTCCATTAAATTGACAGGTTTTGGCCCAAAGTGTGTCTTGTCCTAAATTGCAAGATACTAATATCACCAAATATGTAACACTTTAAAAAAAATGAATTTGTCCTTTGACAGTGTGGGATATCTGAGAGATCCTTTGTATAAGCAAGCCACATGTAACTTCATAAGAACATGGAAAGCCTCTGCTTCTGCCTTCTCACTTGATTGTCACCACTCCCGCATGCTGGAATTCCAATATCTACATGAAGCAGCTAGAGAAAACAGGATGACCTTTTAGCAGGAAATCCCCAGGACAAATACTGAAATCATGTCAGGTTCTTTTCTAAGCAGCTGGTTTTACCGCCCATGCTTTGGCTGAATTGGTTGGAGTTACTGCCAATTCCTCTGCCTGAAGTATTTCAGCTTGTAGAGCCATCTTATTTAAAACCTTACCTGTAACGTGTCTTCTAAGGCTAGATTATATGGTGTATCTTCTTAGGAGGATACCTTTTAGGCCAGGACTAGATACGATCCTATCCAAAAAAGGGGCCAGGCTCAAGTTGTGTAAAATCCCCTGTTGGAGGGGAGCACTGGCCATTTGACAGCTCTTAGGCCGTGTGATGATTCTCTTTAGAATACCTCTGAAACCCCTGATGAAAAGAAATGAGGGGCTGGGAGAGACTTTTTATTCCCTTTGTGATTATGGATCTCATCAAATCCTTGAGGTTATAAGGAAGGGGGCTATAGACTAGAGATTTCTTTAAAGCGTAAAAACATAGCCTGCAAATGCAAACGTGTTACACACCATAGTGATGTAATTTATTCCTACAAGTGCTGCATTCTCTTTGCCACAAAATGGCAAAATACATTCTTTGTGGGTACAAACCACTCTTCTGACAACATGACGTTACCTTTGAGACATTTTAAATTTTGGTATTCTAGTTGGACCTTAAAGAAATTTCCCATTAGTTTTTCTGCTGTAAATGGATATTGACGTTTTGTTTTCTCTAGTATTGAATCACACTCTGGGGTCAATTCCTTGAGATAATTCTGCTCCAGACTGAAAATGGCCATAAATGACTTTTTCTGATTGTTTTCTTGTGGCTTATCTGTTTTCCTATTTAAGCGGTTTTTCTTGTTTACCTGCGGATTTATCCAATCCTCTCTTTAATCTTATATGAAATTAAAAGAACAACGCATCTTAACGTTCAGGATATCAGGCTGTCACTTATTGTAACCGGGTCTGCTGCATCCAAACTTTTCCAACAAGTTGGTTGGCAAAAACCTCCTGGAGATGAGTGTGGCAACTTTGACTATTCTCTTGAGTTTAACAGAGGATGCAGACAGCAATAAAATCTAACCGGGGTCCTAACTCTTCCCTACTCTATCCAAAATCAAATAAAAAATGTTTTGGATTCAGATAAGCTTTAATCACCAGTATGCTTCTATGTGACTTGTTTTTTTGTAGTAATCCATTATGTTTCCATTTAACGTCATTTTAGAAATTGGTAGATATATATTATCACTGTGCGTAGTAAGGGTTTGCATGACCCCAGTGATATTGTGTCAGAACTTTCAAATTGTATTATATGCATTAGATTCATAATCCATTAAGTTTGGACAGATACTTTTTTTTTTTTTAAAGCCTCAAATTCTATAGAAATACAAATCTTATATTTAGGTAAAACTGAATGATTTGGCACATTTTATTTTTACCTTGCCAACGTCAGAACCATACATTTTGTTGCAGACTATTTCTGTCAGTAACCCATCCAGTTATGTCACATAATAATACACTTAAAATGACAGGAAGAAAAGGGGCCCAGATAACATGTTCACATTATATATATATAATATTGTTTCCTATTATAGTTTAGGAATCCATTATGCTAGTAAAGGCTGCCCTCTGGTGAACACTAGGAATATATACTGCCAATTGGTAGCTTATACATAGAAAGACAAGATGATCTGTGTAGTAGTAAATATACCGGTACATTGTCCAGCTTCTCCTTGCCTGTGCCTGTTGAGAAATACTTAACAGGTATTTATGCCTCATAAACACCATTTCTAAAATGTAACCTAGCTGCACTTAAAATTGTATTAACTTGATAAATTCCAAATTGGTCACCACCAAAAGAAAAAAAAAATAGGTTAACTAGATTAAGATACATTTGAATTACATACTATATATCACAACATAATTTTTGTCTTTTAATAAAAATGTGAATTTGTAATAAAACAATCTCATCAGTATGTTTAACATGAAAATGATCTTTACTGAAAGTCTTTATTTCTCTTGAATTTTTATGTTATGAATTGGTATTTTACCTCTACCTCAAATGATTCATTTTCCTGCTCCCCTCAGTAGACACCTCTTAGAACCTCACAATTATCACCAGTCAGAAGCTAGTGATAGCGTAAGGAAGGCTGTGATGTTTTTTGTGAACTAATTGTATATACATTTATGGTAACAAGGGCTAAATATTGCATGATATAGTAATGTACTAAAATAGTCACACACTCTAATATTTTGTTAGACCACCTTTAGCTTTAAATACGGCACGCATTCGCCATGTCATCATTTCGATAAACTTATGCAATGTCACAACACTTATTTCCGTCCAGAGTTGCATTAATTTTTCACCAAGATCTTGTAGTAATGACGGGTCAGACCACTGAGTAAAGTCTACTCCAGCACATCCCAAAGATTCTCAATGGGGTGAAGGTCTGGACTCTGTGGTGGCCAATCCGTGTGTAAAAATTATGTCTAATGCTCCCTAAACCACTCTTTCACAATATGAGACCAATGAATTCTGGCATTGTCATCTTGGAATATGCCCAATGTGCCATCAGGGAAGAAAATAATAAATTGACGGAAAAACCTGGTCTGATGAGACCAAGTTTTTAATGTTACACCCTAAATATGCTTGTAACGTGAAACATGTTCAGAAAGGTAAACTAAGCCTTTAACTTGTGCTAAATGCATGAGCTTAACTACATGTTATTTTCACTTAATAAAAGATCTGCAGGTGAAGTCATAAAACAGATTAATGATATCTAGATGAGCATAGATGTATGCAATCACAGTGAAAATATAATGCATGTTAAGTCTGAAGGCCTGTATATACAAACATTGGATTGCCCTCTCTCACTACTTTGAGCAGCCCTGGGTTCAATTCATTTTAGTAGTTTAGTACACTTCACTGCAGGGTTACACAACCTCCAGCTGTGGCGAGACTACAAACCAATCATGCCTCTGGGGTCATACCCCATTGGACTTGTAGTTCCACAACAGCTGGAGTGCCAAGGTTGCCTAACTCTGCTCTAAAAGGAGCTGATATCCCTGCTAAGGGTTGAATTCTATGCTTAGATGAAGAGAAGTCTTGCCTGGTTTCTTGTGACAATCACATAAATAAACAACAAGCAAATGAAAGGTTACCTATTACTTGTCATTATTAGTGTATTATTTTTTTGCACATGTTATTCTTTTTTTCATTATTATTATTTTTAGAATCCAAAGGGCATGGAGGGATTACTTACAACGCCAGGATTCTTTGAACACGCAATGTATGGAAAAACGCAGTCCATCCCCATCCTCTTTGTCTTCAGATAAAATGAGCAGTTCTATCAGTATGAACACCTTTTCGGATGGCAGCACTCCAGTAAGTACAGATCATTTATTTCCACTCTAGTATTGACAGCTACTTTCCTCTACACCTGGGAAATACTGTGTTTTAGATTTACCACTAGGGGGTGCGTAGTGTCAGTATACAATCCAAAAGCTTAGAACTTGCCCAGGCCCCTGCACATAGACTATATAGCTAAATCTTTATTACCATGGACAACTTGTTTGTTTAACTGAGGCATTTATATGCAACTTGTTTTTTCAATAATTGTTTTTCCTGAATATAAAATTAGATATAAATACGATAATATATAGCTAAAGCTAAGTGTGCACAAGCTGAACTAGACTATGTATTCGATACATGTGCCCTTAAGTAAATTGCTATTTGTCAGATTGTGCGGATTCGAGGATGCCATTAGCCTAGCTGGTACAATGGGATTTTATGCCAATGTTACTTAACCCCTTCATGACTGAGGCCCTTTTTTCATTTTTTGCACCCATGTTATATTCCACATTTTAGGCCTGAAAATGACGTAAAACCCCCCAACATTATATATTTTCTGAATGCCAAGACCCTATAGAATAAAATGGTGGTAGTTGAAAATTTTTATGTTGCGCAATATTAGCGCAACTCCTTATTAAACCCCAAAATTTAGTGACAAATTTAATTAAATGCCCCAAAACACAACAAATTACCCATTTTTTTAATGAAATATAAAAGATGAGGTTACAACGAGTAAAACGATACCCAACATGCCCAGTTTACAGATTGCGTGCGACCGTGAAACGCCGAAAAACTGCAGTACCCCAAAAAGTCAATAAAAGACACTTTAAAAGCCCCCACAGGTCATCAATTTAGAGATACCCCAAAATACTGGCCCTAGAATTATTGCTCTCACTCCGGCGTGCGCGGCGATACCCAACATGTGTAGCGCGTTCGTCGTTTTCATGCGTAGGCGCACCCGACGCGTGTTTACGTGGCGACGCGCGTGCTCGCGGGGGCGGGGTACTTTTAAAATTTTTTTTTATTATTATTAGATTTATTTTATTTCATTTTAATTTTAAAAACTTTTTTTTTTTTTTTTTTTACTTTACTTTGACTGCTATCACATGGGGGGGCTTGCAAGCCCCCCCATGTAATAGCAGATGGTGGTGACAGGTCCTCTTTAAGGTGATGCTGGGGGTCCAAAAGACCCTCAGTGTCACCTTTACACTGGAAATAAGCTATTGAAGTGCAGATCGCACTTCAATAGCTTATAGCTGGGCTGCAGGAGCCCAGAACTGACAGCCCAGGGACCGGAAGTGATGCAATCTGCATCGCTCCCGGTCCCATAGAACGGGGAGGGGATCGATGAACGGAAGTTCGTCGACCTCCTCCCCAGCTCCCCGCGGACACAAAGATCGCCGGTCCCGGGCCCGTAGGAGGGGCAACGGAGCCCGGGAAGCACGGCGGGGGTGTCCGGCGGGGGGGCGGCCCCTTCTTCGGGACGCAGAAGCGATCTGGCGACAGGTAAGTCGCCAGGATCGCTTCTGTTGTAAAGCCGACAGTCGGCTCTACAAGTTTAAACAGACTCCCGGCGGCAAAAGTCGCCAGGAGTCTGTTTAAACAGCCCCGATGCTGGCGACGTACACTGTACGTTGTCAGTCACGAAGGGGTTAAAGTGATACTAAACTCAGGTTTTAAATGTTAAAAATGCATTCAAGTACCCTAACTATTAACAAAAATATATCTTATTTGTGTATCACTCAGCAGTAGATCCTCAAATCATCTCTGAATTGGTGCTGACACCGTCCTTCCTTCTGGAGGGGGGCTACTTTTGCTCCCCATGGTCCCTGTGTGTGCTGTAAAGTAGTCACTGCTCCAAGATCACTCCTGTGATAGACTACAATCTCAATACCAATGAGTAAACTAAATATGATGTTGTAATCCATCATGGGTGTGAGCTTGGAGTGGTGGCTACTTTAAAACACACACAGGGACCATGGGGAACAAAAGTAGCCACCCTCCAGAAGGAAGGACAGTGTCAGCACCAATTCAGAGATGATGTGAGGATCTACAGCTGAGTGATACACAAATAAGATATATTTTGTATTAATAGTTAAGGTACTTGAATGCATTGTTAAGGTTTAAATTGAGTTTAGTTAAAAAAAATAAAAATGTAAATTTAATTTAGGAGGAATGTTTGGAAAATTAGAAACACTAGTATTATTTTCCCAGTAAAGATGGAACCCATATCTGGATTGCTGTTTTCATTTTCAATGCTTATATTAGGCTAGATTGGAAATTTGGTATGGTTCTTGGTTCTGTTATATTGCTTGTTTGCCTGCCAGCACAAAAAAATAGTATCTGTCTGAGAAAAGATGTGACAGGTCTTTCCTGAATGACAATCAAGAGTTCTTTGCGGCTAGCTTTACTCTCCAAATGTTATTTATGCATTTGACTTATTGCTGCTGTCTTTTATCGTTTATTACGTTGTATATATTCTCTTCAGATCTATAGCTAGCTCCTTTTGCACCTGAGCCAAGAACACCACGCGTCACCCGATGCATAACCCCCCGAATCCAAAAATGGCATAAAAATTTGTTTTGTTTGACGAAACTAATGAAAATCTTTTAAGTTTCCGTTCGTTTCGCCCGAAACACATTTTTAGTCTTTGCACATGTCTAATATTGTGTGTGTAGCACTTCCTGCTTATTCATAACTGGGGATACATAGTACTATGTGTCCCCAGTTGGTTACAAACATTAGAGTGATCACATAATCACTGCAGTGTTTGTGCTGCCCACAGAGGATTGGTAAATATCACAGATCCTCCTGCTCTCCATCCTGAGCCGCTTGGCCATGCACAGAGCTGCACAGGAGAATTGGAGTGCTGAAGCTGGTGGGGGGCGGAGCAAGGAGCGCTGTCACTTCAGGATGGCCGAATGGAGAGCCGTCAGCTGTCAGATCCTGGCCAAGCGCCTCTCTCTCTCCTTACCGCTCGGCCTTCCTGGATGACAGCTTCCTCCTCTGCCCCCCCAGCGGGGATCTGAGGAGAAGCTGCAGGCTGTGCCGCCCATCTACTCCCTGCCACCCCGGGGCCGAGCTGTGTTGGCTGCCTGGCACCTCTGTTGCCATGGTACCTTGTGCTCGGACACCCCAAAGGCCGGCCCTGAGTCGAGTGCCTCACCTTTCCTAGGGCCCTGATTCTCTTCATATGACCCAAGTGTCATAACCCATGTTGGAAAAAGCTTAGAGTGAAGTTTATCACTGCAAGAACTTTGCAGATTGTTGTATATTTACTGAGGACTTTGTGAAATCCTACATATATTTTGTGTTTTAGCTGTTCAGGTTGTTCAGCAAGCAGACTGGTGGAATCTTTTTTCATGCAGATTTTGATCTAAATATGAAATAAAATGTTCAGAAATACAGTGTGGAATGTTGTCAGCAAAGTAAATTGCATGCATTTAATAGGAAGACTAATCATTTTTTGTCTGGCGTGCATAGTAAGGAGAAGAAAGCAAAATTGCAGCAATTGTCAGTTATTTTTAAACGTTGTATTCGTCAATAATTTGTATGTAACATATTTGCTGGCTGCCTGCCAGTGCTATGTACTGATCTAAGGGCTATCTGAGGAATTCATTATGCAGTTTTGATTGTGAGGTGTACCTATTGTGAACTTTTATAGTATTTTGGGTTATTGTTTTCAGCTCTGTTAGGAGTGGGCACTTTAAATCTGTGTTGTGATTTAACCACAAAAAGGGTAGCCAACTCATCCTTCATAGGATCTACCAAATAACTCAAAGAGCAGCAGAAGGTTTTTGCCAAACACTTACAGGTTCCTGTGCAGTATCCTCTGCCTCATGTACTGCAAATATTTTTACAGAAGAACTCTGTGCACAAATTTTATTAATCTTTGCAATGGGGGTACCCCTGCACTGAAAGGGTTAACTGCTATTTTTTGCCTAGGGTAAAAAAAAAGTTATACTCACCCGATCCTCAGAGTTGGCAGTGCTCCCTCCAGCCTGCCTCTTCCTTTGCTGTAGCAATGGTATGTCCTTTGGCATCCTCATGTCCTATACACTGTATTGGACATGATAACTCGAGGATCCTTAGACTGATGCAGCGGAGGGGGAGAGACACTTCGGGGAACAATCTAAAAGACAGCTGGCTCAAAGGATTATGTGAAACAACGAAAGAAGGAGCGCTACAACCCTGGAATACTAGATGTTTAACATTTTAAAGATATTGTGTAACTTTTGGTGCAGACTCACTTTTGGACGGACGAGGTGGTATCTTGCTGTTAGTTGTCAGCAAGGCTCGCAGGGCGGAATCTGTGGCTGGTCTGTGTGGGAGTGAACTCCGGGCTATAGGGCTTCGGTTAGGTCCATGGATGTTGGAAGGTGTTTCTTGTGACCGGATGACCCGTTGAGGCGAAGTACACTGTGCATGTAGTGTGACGCTCACCGTCAGGTGCAATGAGAGCTCAGCTTCCGAGCGTTTTCGACTCTTATGCAATAGAGAGACATTTACAAACTAAACACCTTAGTACCAACTGGACTTAATGAAGATCTTGAAATACAAACCGTCCTCTAAAAACTAAAATAAAAAATAACAAAAAACAACTAATAAGACCCTGGGTCCCATACATCCAAACGCACTATCCACTTCCCAAACAAAACAATTATAATGGCTACAATTGAAAGGTCCAAAGACCATAATAGTGCATGTAACGAATTGTTTCAAAATAAATCCTGTTTCAAAATAAATCCTTTCTACCTCACGCTCATTCGTTTTTAAACATATTTGTTTTTAAACATATTTGTCACTCATCCTTCTTTTAAACATACATTTTACTGAAAGAATAGAACCACCCAAAGATAAAATCCAGCCATCCTATTGCCACAAGGAATGATCCACTACTTTAAAAACATTTTGTATTAATGATTAGACGACATTACTCTTTTTCAAGTAACACTTGTCTTTATACAAACAGTTACAACTGTACACACACACCTAAAGATGCTTTCTACATAACGGCTTCCAAGCCGTTCATC